CAAGAGGAATAAACAACTAAATCCAAATGCCAAGTACCAAAATGATAATAAATACAGTTTAAATGTGGACAAAAAAACATCAAAGTAATAAAACAACAAGATGAAGTTGTCAGGGAAGTTGTTTGGCTAATAATTTAAAACTGACATTCAGGTTAATTTGAGTTTTATACAACTAAGGTATTTTTATATTAGCCAAGGTATTAAGCAAGCAGCATCAATTAGTTAATGGGCTCACAAACTAAAGGGATTATATCCAATATCTGGCTTTCCTCTGTTCCCATATCAATTCCACATATCAACTTCATTCCTTAGTGTTTCCTTTTTGTTTTTCACCCACAGTAACATTCCTTGCCCCTTGCTTTTGGCAGCTGATGAATAAAATTATGAATGGTTATTTAAGTGCAATTTTTCGTATGTTTCCAAATAGTTTTGTGGAAAACACCAGCCAGACTTCAAACAATGGCAAGGCAAAATGCCTTAAAGTAGAATTTGACAAGCAGCCTGGAGTTCTTCATCCCAGGTAATCAATCCACTTACTGTATCATACTGTTGCAGCCCACTGAAAATAGCAATGTTTCAGTAGTTGGAATAGAACGGCCCTTCATCCAATCCATCTTTGCTGGTGTGACAGGATTTAGTATAAGTGGGTAATTTGATCCTTCATTGCCTGTAGTGATTATTTCAGAACTGGTAACACCTGTTTTGCAGACACTACTATTGACCATCGGCATGTAGCATCCTTGGCTTGGAAATAGAGCAGCAGTAGACATGGAGCAGATTGCTCTAAAAGGAATAAAGTCCAACTGAAATCACATTTAGTAATCCCTAGCTGCAGGGGAAAAATTTTAATTTATTATTATTTTATTTTTTATATAATTAAAAAGTAAAAAAGGAGGGGTGTGTCTGGGTTAGAATGACAGCAGCTGGCAGGCTGAGCCCATGGAGAAAACAAAATAAGGTGCAGGATAAGGCATGTGTTTATGTTTGTAAGTTGGATAAAAGAGAGACTAATAAGGTGATACGAAGGAAAGCTAATCTGGGTGTTTGTTCAAAGACTGTGGCTCATCTATTTTTGTGATTTACAGAGTAGATTTGTATGCTGTAGCAGACCAAATGACCAAACATGGAATTTAATTCCAGAATTACTTTGATGGGCTAATCTTAAACTAAGGACAATATTGTCATTGAAATTTCTCTTTAGTCTTGGACTAGTCTTAACCCCTTTTTGGGAAGTGGACCAAAATGTCAAAGCCATCAACACCTAGATTTCTTACTTGACACTCAAGCATAAGATGTTAAACTGAGCATGCCCCCTGATGTTCAACATAACAAATCCTAACTCTAACGAGACCCGTGGCCTGCTCTCCTCTGGTCCCACTCAACCTCTCATTGCAGCAGTAATTCAATGGAGTCTATTCTCCCATTGGGGTCTGTCAGTAAAAGTGAGTTATGCAAGTTCTGGCTGAGCCCCTGCACTGGATTAGGGCCAGAAGATGTAGAGATGAGATAGCGTCAATCAACATCAGCGAAACAGCTTCAGGAGTGAGGTCACTTCCCAGTGGGCTGCTCACAGACTTTCCTGCTACTTTTGAACTTAGGATACAATACCTTACAGTATCTCACAAACGTGAGTACACCCCTCACATTTTTGTAAATATTTGAATAAATCTTTTCATGCAAAGACACTGAAGAAATGATACTTTGCTACAATACAATTTGCTGTCAATTTGCTACCATTACTGACCATTGGCCACCATTATTTTCAGCACTGCCTTAACCCTCTCGGGCATGGAGTTAACCAGAGCTTCTCTCTTCCACTCCTCCACGACGACATCACTGAGCTGGTGGATGTTACGACCTTACGCTCCTCTACCTTCCGTTTGAGGATGCCCCACAGATGCTCAATAGGGTTTAGGTCTGGAGACATGCTTGGCCAGTCCACCACCTTTACCCTCAGCTTTTTTTAGCAAGGCAGTGGTTGTCTTGGAGGTGTGTTTGGGGTCGTTATCATTGAATACTGCCCTTCGGCCCAGTCTCCAAAGGGAGGGGATCATGCTCTGCTTCAGTATGTCACAGTACATGTTGGCATTCATGGTTCTCAATGAACTGTGGCTCCCCAGTGCCGGCAGCACTCATGCAGCCCCAGACCAAGACACACTTGTCTTTGTACTCCTCACCTGGTTGCCGCCACATACGCTTGACACCATCTGAACCAAATAAGTTTTTCTTGGTCTCATCAGACCACAGGACAATGGTTTCAGTAATCCATGTCCTTAGTCTGCTTGTCTTCAGCAAACTGTTTGTGGGGTTTCTTCTGCATCATCTTTAGAAGAGGCCTCCTTCTGGGACGACAGCCATGCAGACCTATTTGATGCAGTGTGCGGCGTATGGTCTGAGCACTGACAGGCTGACCAACCACCTCTTCAAGCTCTGCAGCAATGCTGGCAGCACTCATACATCTATTTCCTAAAGACAACCTCTGGATATGATGCTGAACACGTGCACACAACTTCTTTGGTCGACCATACCAATACTCAGATACACCGCTTCTCCACTGGTCTCAGTCGCTATAACTTACATGACCCACAGCATACCAAAATTGTAACATAACAGTGCAGGACAATAATGCGGTGGAAGACCCATTCAATACAGCAATGTTACTTACTACAGTCTGTTATACTAAAGTGGCAACAATCTAATTTATAATATTCAGTCTAGCTCACTAACCGTTTTTGTTGTGATCCAATAAATTTAGCTAGGTATGGATTAGTTCAACGACAAGCTGATAAAAACATAACTGTAAAGTTTCAGTAGGAGTTTACCTGAGTTTCCAGCATTTTGTGTGATGCAGCCTCTTGTTATGTCAGTCTCCGTTTTGGCTTATGCCGAGTGCAGGCTAGTAGTGGTTGCGATCTGAAACCCCTCCGCTAGAGGGCACTGAAAACTACACATGGCCCCTTTAAACCTGATTTGCCCAGAACTAATTTTGCCAGACATCTAGTAATTTGTGATAACTGCACAAGTCTCAGTGATCTTAATCTTGTACATATCAGCCTTGTGCATAATTGACTTGCACTGCAAGTTACCAGTCAAATTACCAGATACATGATGGATGTTAATTGGTTGAGTGAGATGCACAACCACAGGAGCAATATTGATTTTTTTTTTGTATTACATATTTCTAACACACACTGGCCAATGCTCCTTTTTGTCTTAGCCAGGCGGAGGGGCATGTCGTGTTTGATTGACAGCAGCTGGCAGGCTGCCAGAGCGCTGGTGTTACAGCATAGGGAAGCAGAGACAAAGTAAACAAACTTGTGCTGTACCCCACGTGTGATGGGCAGACAATTAGCTTATCAGCTAATTAGCTATCTAACTTCAAACTGGCATAAGCAGTGCACTTTACCCCAATGAATGTTTGTGCAGTTGGTCATTCAACAAGCTAAGGTGCAGGACAAGACGTGTGTTCATGTTTGTAAGTTAAATGTGAGTTGTCGTTCAGAATCTGTGGCTCTTGTGTTGTAAAGCAGGCATCTGTCAGTGTAAATGTCTGCTCTGCCTATGATAAAACCCTGATGTCACTGCTTTTGTGCAAGATTTGACTGGCTATATCACAATTAGGGTTCATCTCCATAGATGGATATTTAACGGTATTTTGCTGAATTACTGCAAAAATAGGGGACTCCATCATGAAAGCATTTCACCACCAGAGCCACCAGAACAGATATGTATGCTTTAGCAGACAACTGAAAAATGCTATTTCATTTCAGTTGGACTTTAAGCCATTTATACATGTGCAGGGTCATGGTGTTTTACCTCTTCCTTCTAGAGTACTAGAAGTTACTCTTGGGTGCTTCTCATTGATATTGAACATTTGGGGGAAACCAATACTGATTTTGAATATTTGAAAACCTTATTTCTCTAGCAAAGGCCATGCCTTGGTCATTCCATTTCCAATGTCTCAACAGACAAAGGTTTAAATAAGGAACAAATAATAAACATCAGGGAAGAAACATGATTATTTATGTCCGCATGACTAAGGACCCAAAATGCACATGAAAAAATGCATGAAGGTGGACCAGAAGCAATCATAGGAACTTTGATCGTAATGTGGAAGACCCAAAAAGGAAATGAAGAGGCTCTCCAGTCAGACACATAGACTGGAATATAAATCCAGCCAGACATACAGATGAATATGCCAGGAGTACAACTAAAGTCCCCCACCAGATTCACAGAAACAGGCCAAGCCAAAGAAGCAGATGCTGCAGCACAGAAGCTACAACACACTTCCAATCAGATCCCTTGCCGGCAGCTGGTTGGAATGAGCCAGACAAAGTGCATCCCTGAATTAAGACAGTTACTACCACAAGGATGACCAAACTTTTGTCACGCTCAGCCTTATGCTGAAATACAACACAGCCTAGTGTTGACAGATAAAAAAAAAGATTTAGTTGTTATTAATCAGAAGAGGAACAAGTATGTTCTTATAGTCTGCCCTTTACTGTTTGTAATAACTAAGTTTAAAATTACTACCCACATTTTGGGTAGTGGGCAACTTCACATGAACACAGGAACACAAAGACAAATATAGACATTTACACATTAGGAAACTGAATACCAGAGAAAAACAAGGACTATTGATGAAGTCTGAAAACTCCCACTTCTACTTTCTTGGATGTGGAATCAGTAATCTGTCTACCAGTTATCTAAGGTTGGACACGAAGCAAAGGAAGGAAGAATCTGTTTAAAGATGTTCCAAGAGGTAAAATACAGCAGTCTTCAACAGTATATTTAGTTGTGGTTTCCATTATACTTACCTTGTGTAGGTGGAAATGATCATTCATAAATGTTAAAGCTTGATAATGGAAACATGCAGCCTCCACTGGATGCATGGCGGTGAGAAAGTATAGTCCAAGTGGGTTCGGCATAGGTAAAAAATCCATCATCACCTCTTTGACTAAAGGGTGAGGTTTATTCTGAGGTACATGCATGCCACTCACCTTCTTGGTCTTGACAGTGGATTGGCAACAGTCTCCTCCATCATAGTTGCAGAAGGCTCTGTTGTTGACCGCATCACAGTAGTTGTCTCCCCTGAATGGCTATACCAAAGAGATAGCGTGTCAATTAGACAAAAACACTGAGTGAGGAATGTACCACCTTTAAATTGGTTGATAATGGTTAAAAGATCAATAACTGAAGAAGCCTTTTGGCCTTTTCTTTTAGTGGTAGTTTTCTCTTGAGTATTTATGTGCCTTTTAAAGGTCTCTGGATAAATTTGCTGATGAATATAATACATTAAATTTCCCTCATCTTTCAATGTGACTTTTTCAGCCCTTAGTGGGCCTGGCCCATAAATCAACCTGAGGACACCATAAACTATTCACTGCACAAAACACTCCAATAAGGTGATTTATTGGGTTGGCCCCACCTTCTCCACTTGGGTTACCAATCAGGTTATCCAACTGGCCTAAACTGAGTAGATGATATAATTCTTCCGTGAAATGGAGTTCTTCCATATGTGAATGCATCATTTTTAGAGGAACGACAGGTTTAGCACATGATCACTTGTGTAAAGATGATTGTAAGACATAATAAATCAGTAATTACAGCAAATTACAGCAAATTTAAAAGTGTCAATGAGTCACATCAATTAGTCTGATACTAGATACCCATGTAGCAACAGCATTTTTAACTGGCTTACAAATGCCTAAATGACATCTGCTAACAACAACCTGCGCCTCAGCAACTGACATAAAAAAAACCTCCGTGTGGAAAATTTCTTGCCAGTGTCTTAAAACACTACTGTATTTTTAACCTGATCTGCTAGCCTGTAGAAAAAAATAGCCGCCCATCTTAGCCTTTCCTGGAAGTATGATTAGACCTGTAAATCCAAATATTCTGACAAAAGATTCAGTCTCCACCTACAGTACAGGCTGGTCTGAGTGTTTTACTTGTCCAGTATCTGCCAATCGATTGTCTGTCCAACTACATTGGCCAAACACAGTCAATAAAATTTTATGAAACTAGGGTTAGAGGTTAGTAAGACTGAGATGTGTCTATACTCGTGTCGGGCAAAATATTATATCAGGCAAATTCCTTATCACTCTGTTTGGTTTGGGATCAAGGAAGGTGGCAGTATGAAAGTATTATATGATAGATGAGACTATTACTCCACAAATATGATTTAAAAATGTTTTTATATAGGTTAAGCCCTTACCTCACAGCCTTTGATGCAGTGGAGCAATTCTGGGTGTGGATACCATTTCAGGCCCATTGTACAGACTATACTCTGAAATATAAAATAAGAGTTGAGGTAAGAAATGGCGGGGGTCACTTTGGGTTATTTTCCTTATGGACAGCATTTAAACAGCTTTGCCAAGCCTGTTTTTTTTTACCTGCATTTCAGTCCACATAACTCAGACTAAAGCCACTGGGCACTTTCTAGCTGCACATAGACACACAAACACACCTAACACAGTGAAACAAAAGGGTTTCCTGTGCTACACATGGAAGCTTTCATTGTAAATCCTTCTTTGATTTACACTGACCTTTTTTCACCTCAGAACAAAGCTGAATAAGTTGATTTTGACAAGATATAACTTGATAAAGATGTTGTATTTTATAACTAAGTCATGGCCCCAGGAGGGCACAGAGCTGAGAGAGAGATAGAGATAGAGAGAGAGAGAGAGAGAGAGAGAGAGAGAGAGAGAGAGGTAAAGAATACCATGTTTTCAAATATTTTTGCAGAATGTGTGGAATCCCATCCTGTTCTCCCACTGTGTTCTTCATTGAAATGCAACAGAAAATATTTGTGCTCAGTCGAGGTGGGCAGCAATGTGCAAAAAATGTGTACTTGCATATGCAAATGCATTCATTTAGGTATATACTACAGGTACATTAAAATGCATATGTTCACATGAATCATGATCAAAAGTGCCATTCACAGCAAAGGACTGGCTGACCTCAGATTGTCCATTTCTCCGACCCCTGTGTCCCAATATCTCACAAAGTTGACGTGCTTTTCTTTTGTTGCTGCAAACTAAGGTATTTTCCATTTCAGTGCTGTCAGCAAATCAATGCAAAAAAGAAAGATGGGGGGGTTGAAGGTGGAGAGAAAGAACAACATAGCATCTGAGGACAACTGAGAGCTGCGGGAGTAATTGGTCTACTACTGTAGTACCACACAGGAGAATGCAGGCCCCTTCTGTGGCATGTGTGCATGTGTTCAATTGTGAGGACTACAGTGATTAGTTCCTATATGGTGAAGGATTAAGCACATTATTTTGTCTTAGAGGTCAAACTTTTCGCAACTACTGTACTTTTATTCTCTTTTTCCTGTGCTCTGCTGTGATGATGTCATCCAGAAACTCCTTCTCTCCCCCTCTTCCTCATTTTCTCTCTCTCTCACTCTTTTTTTCCTCTCTCAGCAAGGCCGTAAATCATGATAATCCATGATCGTGGCCTGGCCTCACCCCTCACTACGTATAGGATCCTCACCCTCCGAAGCCTCCCCGGGGCGCTGATACCACATAAAAATAGATCCCTATCTCAGCGCCACCACAGACGAGGTCATGTCATGTAGAAAATGACTAATTCCACAGCAAGCCCGACAGGGTAATTTTGCTGATAAAGGGGGAGGAGGGTGCTGGGGGCGCAGAATCGTTAGAGATAGAGGGACAGGAAAAAGAAGAGGAGGAGGTGGAGGTAGGGAAGCAGGAGAGAATTCTAAATGGGTCACACTAAGAACCGAAACACAACTAGTTTAAAGGCAATAAATCAACATCACTTATTAAGGTGGGCAACACTAACCTCCAACTCAGCAAAGTAGAACTACAAAGTGGATTTTGGGACATGAATTCTCTTTTAGATAGTGTATGAAGATATCCCATCCTAGAGGGGTGCTTAAAAGTATGTTATGATGTCTATTCCTCCTTACTACACTCCTACTGTAACTACAACTGCTAGCCATTGTCATGATTGATTTCTTTTTCCACCACAGCAACCTCTTCCTGTTCTTGTTTCTTAATACCATTTCGTGATTTCGTGCATTTCTTGGATCTCACCTCTGCCATATGTGTCTGTCCTGCTTAGCCCTTGGGTATTTATTACATTGCCTGTTGCATCTATTTTTCTGCTGCTACAATTAAATTGGCAGAAAGATGGAACTTCAAGGACCCCTTTACCCTTTGACATTAGTGAAATTGCAAACATAATATCCTACAAATGATCACATTTTGCCATAAGGCAATTTTCTGTCTGCACATCATTTTTATTACTATTAGAAAATGTGTAGAGTATGTGCGTGTGCACCTGGATGTTCATAATGAAACTGACTGTCCTTGTATTACATATATCAACCCAGGGATCAGGTAGTGGCTCAGGATGAAACATGGCACACGCTAAAGTGCACACTACTAGCGAAAGTTCTTCCTTCACCAACCTCCTAACCCTGGTGCATGTCTGAAACACTCACCCCTCCAAAACCCTCACACCACCACCCTCACTTCTCCGACTTCTCTTATGCTATTCACTGCCCCTAACAGCATAGCCTCAGATCTCAAATTACCACTGAGCACAAATCATATCAGTTACACAAATCCATGAGAAACTGATCATTTCATGTCCACATAGCCCAAGCCACCCCTCTCTCTTGACATCCACCACAAAAAGCTGCTGACTCAGTGTGACTCTGAAACAAAAACAAAAGAAGTTGTAGGAAAAAAAATACAGTGAGAAATACAATTTGTTCCTTTACCATGGCTTCTCTTTTGTTCTTCTCTCGTTACAAAACTTGGTACTATTTAATAAGATCTTTCTCATCTTACTCCACAGCTAAAAGGGCATTAAGCTGACAAAAACACTTAAAACAAATTGCATGAGTGACATTAATCAAGTTCAATGGGGAGAGTAAAATTAGAAGAGTAGGTGCAGTCTAGTACTCTTTATCTATTACATGCTCACACACCCACACTAATATACACACCATAGCCCTACACTCATCTCTTGACCCCACCCACAAGCTGTATAAAAATCCAAAATGACACCATGGAGGTGGGTGGGTGCCACTCACGTGTGACTGGCACTCCCACAAGGACAAGGCGTACAGTTCTGTGTATAATGCCCTCCCCTACCATAACCTCTAACCTCTGTGTTTTTCTATCTGCCACTATAAGCAAACAGTACTTAATCAGCACAGTTGGTAGCTGTGAGGTATATCTAAATCAAATGAGGTCATTAACCAGTGAGCGTCATAGGTGTATTTCAGAAAATGACTGTGATTACATGAATAGCCATTTGATAAGGTTTTACTTGGCCACTGTGGTAGTGGGGCCCCATGCCTCACAAGAATTCTGCGGACATATTTAGTTTAGTTTTCTCATTAGGGATTATTTTTGTTTAATGGGGAATTGAGTGCTACAAATAGTAAAAATACTTGTTTGTCAGTGTGGGGGCAGCACTTAATTTCCAAAGATGCTTTGCAGCTTTTTATTTCACCAAAAAGGTAGTTGAAATGTCATATCGAGGACAGGGATACAAGATGGCAGCAGCACGTTATCAAGCTTCCAATCCAAAATGGAATAAAAATGTCTGAAGGGTTGCCATGCTTCTAAGACAAATATTAGCAAAGCATTGAGCATAAGTGACAGGCACAAGCTGGCATTTTGCATTGTGGGTAATGGAGCCAGGATGTTGACGCTCTACGTGAAATTCCTTACAGGAGAGTTGTGGATCACAGAACTTTGTGAAGTGCGTCTGTCAGAGCTATGAGGCGGACACAAACACGTGCAAACTTACCTTGACTTTGTGCGGGTTCCTCCAGTGCTCTCTCAGTACCCTCTCTACTGTCATGTTGCTAGGGAGGATCACCACGTCGTTCGTACTCTCTCTGCATGTCAGCTCACACTCCTCACCTGTGTGTGTGTGTGTGTGTGTTTGTTGTGTGTGTGTGTATGTGTGTGTGTGTGTGTGTGTGTGTAGCAAGAGAGAAGCAGAAAAACAAAACCAATGAACGTATGCACAAACCACACCTAGATCAAAGACATTTCAAATTACATATTCTTACCTTCCCCATTTCACTTTCAAATGAATATGATAGTGTGTGGTTTTGAAAGTGACAGGTTACACAAATGTGGTTTAGACATTTTGTTGACTCTTATTGAGAACAAGTTACAAACTGAAAATTAAGAATAACGAATGCAAAGAATAACAATAATAACTGAAGAATAACAGCACTCTTAACAAAAGATGTGAGTAATATGAACGATGAAAGATGACATCAGCAGTAAGAAAACTGAATTGTTATTACATAACAGTAGATTTGTGCATACAGACCTATGCCGTGTCCTCGCTTGCATGAGTATTGGAGTCTATAATGGAGGTTTTGAGGTAAAGAACACTGGCCTTTGCTGTGTGGGCATAGGCGGAACGACCCTGTCCAGTTTCCATCCTTCCTACAGCGGATCACATTAGACCCCGCGCCCTGAAAATAACACATATATTGACTGAGAAACAATTAGACACACACATTGACACGCAAACACGAGCAGGCCAAGGACATTGAGATGGCATCCCATTGCAAAAGGGGAAATACAATCCAAATTTTATCAGGCATCCAACCCACAATGCCTGAGTGGCAGAACAGATTAAAAGGTGTATACATTTCAAAAGTCTGTGGCTGCAGGACTATTCTGGAAATCAATAGCAATCTAATTAGCATGGCGTCAAATTGAGTAGGGCTAAGGGAGACGGGGAGAAAGACGGGCAGTAAGAGACAAACGTTCAGAAGGGAGGGCAGTGTAAGACAAAAGACAGTGAGGAAAGTGAGTGTGTCTGGGGAAGAATGTTTTCTTACTCAATAATTCTGCATCTTATCATCAGCTATAATGAGTACATTATACCTATATGGCATTAAATAAGAGTATGTTTACAAAAATGTGTCACTAGTGATTTTTAAACAAACAATATTTAAACAAACATGACTGATACTGTATTGTGAAGGTTCTGTTTGCTAAATAGCCGACAAACACAAATGCTTCTAATGGATTATTTTGATTGTATTAGTCACTACTTCTGTGTCATGTTGAGCCTAAAAAAGTGAACCAGTAAGGATCGAAGAAGGGAGAAAAAGAGAGAAGGTCTACTTTTTACACACATGACAAAAATAAGACAAACATATAGGTGAAGCAAGAATAGAAAGAGAGGAAAGAGATGGACAGACCTGATTGCATGGAGCGTGCAGCAGCCTCACCGTATGGGCAGAGCCTCCTGCGGCGGCGATAGCAGTATTACCAGCAGGATCAGAGCAGTTGAGTCTGCAGACGCTGTCAAAGCGGAAGCCGTCAGTGCAGTGGTAGGAGCCATGGAAGATGGGAGGTGGGGGATCACAAGTCACTGGCTCGCATGCCCCCTCTAGCCAGCTGCCATCCTCTGTGCACTGGCGCTTAAATGCACGCCTAAAGGGAAAGAAGACAATTAACCTTTAGACTTGAGTTTTGGGTAACTTTTATGAGGCTTATTTATATGTTAAAGGTTATAGTCTTTAAATGGTACTGCTCCATCCATACTTTCAATTGGAAACTAATAAAATAAATCAACGACGACAATTTATATTTCTTTCTTCACCTCTTAGGTTTGTTGCTGACATGGTAGCCTGGCTTGCACTTGTACTTGCAGAGCGTGCCCACTTTGAGGCCTGTCTCATTGCAGCGCTTGGTCTGCAGCACAGCATTGGGTACGGGAGGAGGGGCCGGGCAGCGAAGCTCACAAAGAGCCTCTGGGAAAGACCACAGACCATCTTCTAGGCAGGTAAGAGTGTTGTTTGTACCTGAGAAGAAAAAGGAGAAAGGGATTGATGAATTTCAGTGTTGGTCAGTGAATTTGTAAAAGGGGATAAAAAAAAAACAGAAAAGAAACCGATGCGAATATGTAGATATAAGATATAGACATGCGCAGTAGCTGGAAGACCAATTTAAAATTGTTCAATGAGGACGATTAAGTGACTGAAACGAAAGTGAATAAAATAATTACAAAATCCTGTAACTCTGACTTCCAATTACTAAATGTTATGCAGATTTATAATGTAAAATATATTAGATATCTTGTGGCAATAGTGTTTAAAATGTTTCTTACCTACAAGCTGGGCAGGCTCTCGACACTGAAAGGTGCTCTTCTTGCCGTAGGTAGTGCCCTCAGGAAAGTTGAAATGGGCAGGATGAACATGGTATTTGTCTGGCAGACCACAGTCCACAGGCTCACATGACACTTGTTTGTTCCACTTCCCATTTGCACAGGTTATGGTCACTGAAGAGTCAGACTGGAAAATAAGGCAAGATATCAAGTGAGTCAGAGTCAGATACTGGATCACAGACCTATTCTGATGTACGGTATGTGCATAACTATGCACTGACACAAGCATTCATTTGCCCATTGATGTGACAGATTGATGTCCCACACACATCATCTAAATGTTTACCTCACTAAAATTGACTACAGCAATTCAGCACTCACTCCAACAAGTCTCTAATCAGCGTGTAACCTAACAAAGCTTGATCAGGCTTAGTTTACTGTATATGTCATAAAGCCTCACAGGCTCAAGTAACTGCTGATAGCATTTGTAAGGTCAAGTCATGCCACTCAGACAACTGATATCTAACAACTGCACTATCAGCCCTAACACAAAACAGATTGGCTTTGGTGGAAGTGTAACAACTTCTGAGAAACATGCACAGAGAGGGAATCTTCCACAACTGGAATACAAACCTCTGTGGATTTATGGAGTTTCTGTGTAATCACAATACTAAGAAAGCCATTCTATTCACTGAAAAGACATTTTTGACATACAAATTAAAGGAAAAGAAGTCATGTTACCACGAGCCTTGAGAACAGCTTTAGTGCTCCTTGCTAAGTCTGTGAAACTCTATTGGAGGGATGAACCCTCATTTATATATCTCACCTTTATTTAATCAAGTAATCTTTTGCAAGAGAGACCTGTGTACAACAGATCACATCATTTTCAAACTCACCAAACCATTCAGTGAGCCCTGGTGCACAGAAGCATCTGTATTTGATATGACTTTTACTCCCAACAAACATTATATTCAGGTAATGCAATCAAATAGTCAATCAATCTGGTTGTCAAGTGGGAAACAAAGAAATCAAATTACATACATAGTAAAATAAAACACACCAGCTTTACAGATAAATCAGAGTCATGATTGTTGACAGTTGCCGGTCAAAAAAACGACTTCTCCAGTGCTTCTTCCTGTGCACACTGTTCACAAAATAAAGGCAGACTGTCTCACATTTTCAAGCTTACAGAGTGCATCCTGTGTTATTGGGCCCTTACATGTTGTTGGAATGTGGGAGGAAACTGGAGAACCCAGAGGAAATCCACACATGGGGAGAACATGAAAAATCCAAAAGAAACGGACTCAGGCCAGGAGTCAAACCCAACAGTGGTAACACTCTACTATGACAAACAAAGACAAGCTTAGACTTAGCAAAATATATTAACATCCCTTCCATTGCCATTATGAACATATCATAGAGAGCAGCCCTTAATTAGCAGCTATTCAGGTTACTGCTCAAGGAGCTATGACGCAAAGGCCACGTGTCTTGCATTAATTGTGTGTGTGTGTGTGTGTGTGTACGTGTGTGCATGTGTGTGTGTATGAACTCAATGTTTATACACCCTGTACACATATCAGTGTGTAACCATTCCTGATCAAGAGTGATGAGAAGATTGTGTAGATAATAAAGCATTAAGGACCCAGTATTTGCTGGTAAAAGCAAATGGCAACCAGAATGTTTCCAAAATAATACATTTCAAAATGACAATCTCTTGTTCCTGACTTCTTTCACCAGAAATATTTCCTGATCTTAGGTCTATTTCCTATTAGAAATAGCTCTGATTCCTGTAAATTATTTGGCTTGTGGCATGATATTTGCAGAGATGAGCCCAAAATGTGGAACCACTGCATCATCCAAACCTCAACTGTTTTCAGTAGTAGAACCATGTAAAGCAACAGGAATGCTTAAATTGATAGGCATGCCAAGAAATTTTACAACAAAGCTGTGAGAGCTCAGTCATTTTGACTTTTCCTTCTCAGAAGAAAAAAAATGGAAACCTGTGTAACTACCATGAATTATATACCCCTTTTTTGATTGAGTTTAATTACACACATGTTTTTAAAGAGTGGTGAAACTTTAAGGCCACACAAGCTGGACTCAGTTAAGATTACATATCTTTTGCTTCAAATCCTTCTCTGTCTTTCTGTGTATTTTTATCTTTCATCTTTGATCCCATTATATGATACTGCATAACAGTATCAGGTTCCCTCAAAATAAATAAGCTCCTTTCATATTTGGACATCCAACGAAGTAACATATGCATTGCATATGAGTGCCTGGTGAAAAATAACTGGGTGTAGAGTTGAATGAGTCAATCATGATGAGAGGTTGTGAACAAAGTATGCATGGAAGAAATGTGGAAGGATCTATTTAATGTGCTGACTGTAAATATGTGTGCAAATTGCATGTTAAGTAAGTTTGTGAAATTGTGTGTTAGGTTACATTTACATATATTCGCCATGAGCTGTTTTTGCATTTAATCAAGAGTCTATTCCTAAGTGTGTAACTGTTGTATGCCTGTGTGTGTAAATGTGTGGGAATTTTCCTTCCTTTAAAAAATTTACAGCTTACTCTTTCTCTTCCAGAAGCAACCTTTGGCTACTATGCCTAATACAAGCCAGACAAACAAATGAACCAACTGACAGCTTCTTCCTTCAGCTTAGGGGTTTGCCTTATTTCGGATGGCATACACACAAAACAAAAAAGCATAGCAATAACACACAGTGCACATTTATAGGTAGAGTTATTACTGTATTGCTTAGTAGTGGAATTAAGTGTAATTTATTATTGTCTAGTCCTCATGGAAAAGCACTTATGAAACAGTTATTGGAGATAAATGTGCTTTACTTAGAAGCAGAGCTTATTTGCTTGGAATATACACACTTTCTGGTAGAAAAACACAACAGTTGCACAAATGATTCTGGACAAGAATGTGTTCAGAACAGTAACATGCGGCTGGGTGTTACTGAGAATCTAACAGTACTCAGAAGCAGACATGCTTCTAAGTACATACAATTCTGGGAGGGTTCGTGTTTTTTAAATGTTGAACCACATCTGCATGGACAGAGTGGATTTCAAACTAACCAACTGTGAGAGCTTTTGTTTCACACACTCATTCACACAGGTTTCGTTTATAGGCTTACGAGAGTGACACTCTGGCACTGTCAGGACAGAATAGACCTCAGACACTGAAAATCAGGATGCCCTTCCATGATCCCTCTGTACAGGTGGAGAAACAGTAAAAAGTGACATTCAAAAATAGCCTGATTGACTTTAAAGTCACAGTGAAAAAGTGTAGAGCGTGTTCTCAGGCATATAAACCACCTGTATACCTTCCTTATACGTAGAAGTGCCAGTGGTAGGTCTCCACCGCCACTGCCATATGACTCAGAAGGCAGGTGATGGTCAATGCTGTCACTGGTGGATCTCTGTGGACTTCCTGCACTTGCTTGATGTACATGTGAACCAGGCACAGTGTTCACCCCTTTACTTTCTGGCTGGGAGGCAAGGGATATGAGCCTGGGATACAGTCTTTAAGTCCATTTAAGTTATAGTTTATTAATTACTATGGTGATATTTGCCCCCCCCCCCTCACTCATTCTTACAAGCTGGATCAGCTCCAGCTCTGAGGTCAGTGCCTTGATGAAGGTCAATCTAATACAGTACCTTACATTCATATCCTTTGGAGTGGGATAACACTGGACTGAGTGTTTCAAGTTAGTGCCCAATCATTCCAATCAAAGTTGCTCACTGGGCACATACACTGAAACACTTCTTCAGATGTCCACATTTGAGTGCCCATAAAACATGCACATAAAAGCCTTTCTTTGGCTGAGTTGGTTAACTGCCCACTCATATGAATATGACGACAATAATATGTTGATATGGCTCTCAAACCCCCTTAAATTTATATTGGATATAATGGCTCAAATTATACCAGGAGTTATTTCTAAATGTGTGTACAATTTTCGTAATTTCTTTGATGAGACCTGTGGAGGGTATTTGGGTAATTTAAGGAAAGTGGATAGGCTATCACATAGCGGCAGGTAATGGCGGTTTGATGGGCTTGTCCTACTCTATGGTGGACAGCGGTAAAGCATAGAGCTTGTTAAAGGAAATGCATATGTGAAATAAAAACAGATATTTTCTGAAGAAAGCATTATCTAAAACGATGGTGTTCCCAGAACCACTTTGACATCCCCAAAACAAGAATGTAATTGGTTAATGAAAAGAGACAAGATTGTGCTTCACGCTGCGCTGCTGCTGCAAAAGAAAGAAAGAAATGACTTTAGACATATACACTTAGGGGATAAGGAAGCTCTGATCTGTCTTCTATTTTATCTGGTTGAATTGTTGTTGTTTTGTTGTTTACCTTCAAAGTTCACTTTACTTTTATAACAGGGTTTTAAACTATCACCCCATCTGAGGGGGCAATGAGAGCAGATGTATCGTGAATCTGGCCAGATCGATCTATTACTAGGCCTTTGACTAATTCCTAGAACTACTTGACATAAAGCACATTTCTTTTATTATATTTGATCTTGAATGGATGTGCGAAGTGTTTCTTTCGAAACCCCATTATCTTATTTGTCTGATTCTGTCCTGCAGATGTAAAGTTTAGTCAGTCACAGTTACTGTATGCCGCTGTTGAACTCAAAGAAACAACATACTGCTGTCCCCCACTGGATTCTACAGCTAGCAACAAAACCTGCTTCAAAATGTTGCATTCTATTCTCAAAACAAGGAAAAGTAGATGTCAAAAATAATGTTTTCCAGTGATCAGACAAAAAGCAACACATTTAGTTTATAATGAATGGTGCCCCATGTGTTTCACAGTGAGACTGTTTCTGTGTTACTTCCAAATGCTTTCGGGAGGAGACTTCTACTGGCTCTGGAGGGACGTGCAACTGGTGAAATCATTTTCCAGAGAACTGTTTCACTCTTTGAGGATAAAAGACCGGACTTAAAATGGATCAACAAGCTAGAAATAGAAGGCATTCTTTCAATGGCAGACAGGGTGCATTGAAAGGATTGGATTCTGTTTTGGTAATTATAAACATCATTCAGTCTGCACATCTAGTTTGCAGCATCAAATTTCTCTTACCAGTGGCATGTCACCTGAGTATAATGATTTATTTGTAATGAGTTTAAAATGATTTCGGAACTTAGGGAGAGGACTTTGGCGAATACATTTCTGTCACTCCTGCTGAATGACTAAGTATGTACATTCAAAGTTTTGAATGACATCGTCCATCATTTTAATAATCCCACCAAAAAAAGTTACCATAACATCCGTAAACAATTTATAATTCCAAAAAGTGTAGTAGATAGTCTTGCTTTACAACGAGAAAAATTAAGTGAAAATTGTATTTGATCATATGAATTTGATATTAAACTAACAAAACTGATCGGATTTCTTTTAGGAGTGAATGCCTGCAAAAAGTTTTTCAATAAATAACAAGTCCTCTAAATACCTTTGAACTGTCAGTCATCATTTGTGGCAAGCCTTCAAAGTCCAAAAAATTTGGCGCAGCTCTACTTCCTTTTCTATTCTCCCTTTACCCTACTTCCTCTGTACTGCCCTGCCTCTCCCTCTCTAAAAAGCATCATTTATTACTAAATTAATTGACATTGATGAATAGCTACATAGTGTACTGTCAATCAGAATCTAATGCAATTAGAAGTCTGTGCCGACTCAATGGAGAGCTATTCTGATAGTGTTTGTACATAAAGTATGTATAGATGTGGATGTAAGTGTGCTTCTGTGCATGTACATGCGCACACACATACGTGTGCTTATTTCTGTGTGCAGATACAGTGTACAGTATGTACAGTACATGTGTGAACAAGATAATTTAGTGGAAGACAGAGGGACAGCTTAACAACTTTGTGTTTCTAGAAACCCTCCAAATAAGACGAGTTACAGATCTTAGCAACAGCCATGTAAAAAAACACATAGTTATTGTCAGAATACTGACCAAATACCAAAAAAGTAATTATCACCCCCTCTCTTTTACACTGTAAAACCTTTCTTTCTCTCTCTTCTCTCTGCCTCTTTTGATAAATGTTTGTGTACGTTACACACACACCCTCACACACAAACATACCGTACACATACAATTCCAGACTAAAATACACATAAAAACTAAATTTACCTTGTTCTCTGAACCTCCCATTTCTCTGAGAGAGCATTAATAGATTGTCTTGCATACTGCTTTACAGAGCCGTGGAGAAGGATAAAGTGTTTAAATGGCCTTTACAGCAGCTTGGCCACAATCCAAAAGGTTTACGATACAGTGTCAACTACCCTGTTTATTTGTTTACTTGTGGTGTGCATGCATCTGTGACTGTTTATGCAGGAGATTGTCTGTACTTTACTGTATGTCTGTTAGTATCTACATGGAAGCAGTTAATATGTGCTGCTGTGCGAGAGCGGTAGCAAATCTCTGCCCTTTAACAGAGACTTTCGCAATGTGTGCGAAATGAGCAGGGATGGAGCGAGGGAGGGAGAGGGAGCAGACACTATGCGATGATGTCATTGTCCCGGTGGAGTAGCGATACAAAGTGACTGTTTGAGGTGATGGTGCAGCATGCTCAGCAAAAGACTAAACACTATTATGTCTGTGCTTGTACAGAATGTGTGTGTGTGTGTGTGTGTGTGTGTGTGTGTGTGTATGTGTGCGCGTGCGTGCGTGCGTACGTGTTTGTGTGTGTGTGTGTGTGTGTGTGTGTGTTTGTATATGTGTAGCAAGCCAGCAAGAGGAGGAGACTGTGGCGTCTCTACTCCTCAGTGCAGCACTCATCTACCTGGATGTTCATGATGTCATTCTCCCTGGAGGCTTGCCGTGCCAAGCCTAGCTTTTGCAGGTGACAAAATGAATGCAGAGAAAGAGAGGAAACCAGAGAGAGTGTGGTTGCACCTATCACTTATGGCCATTTGTATACTTGAGTTTGCATCAATGCGTGTTCATGTGTGCATTCACAAATTCATGTTTGCACGTACGTTGCCATATGCTGTAGTAATGCTTTTGCACTTAAGCGTTTACATGTGGACATTTATTCATTCATGTGCCTCTTTGTGCACTGAGCTATTTGACTCCCCATGTGTGTTTAAACACGTGTATAGGGGTGTGTTTACCTGGCTCTTGATGATGTCATCATCCTGGTGGATTTGCAGGACGTATCCAGAGTTGCAGGAGATGGTGCAGCGGTCTCCATTGTAGAAGTGGCGGCCAGGGCTACTGCACTTGAGCTCTGCATTGCGGATTAAGGGTTCCTGGCAGTCAATGGCTTCGCACGAATAATGTACACAACTACGAGTGAGAGTGTGTGTGTGTGTGTGTCGGGGGGGGGTTAAAGAAAGTGCAAGAGGGAGGGAGACAAAGAGAAAGAAAGAAAGTTACCACCAACATGAATGTAGTGTATAAAATAACACTGCAGACACTCAAATATGAGGTCACACATTTGCTCGCACTATCAATCACATCGATCATTCAATGACTGCTTAACATATCAAATCAATAAACCACATGGAGAAAAGATATATTTGCTGTATTTGCGATGTGCATGAAAGGGGTGTCTGTGTGCGCACACACAGCAGAGTGTAGTTTGTGAATTAAGAGCGACAGGATATATTATGTGCAGGCTACAATAGTGGACCTTGGCCAAAGCTCTATGTTGGTAGCCTGATGGAGAAGGCATTTAATGCTCCTGGAATGCCTGGATGCCCAAGGCACCTTTTTACAACAGTCCACATTCTACAGTATAGAGTTCCCTTATGAAGCCAACGGAGAAAGAGGGGAAGGTGTGGGGGCACAGAGAGAGAGAGAGGATGTAAGAAAATACAGGTCTGGAGAAACATTGTTAAACTCACTCCTTCAAGAATGGAATCTCCATTTTGCTCTTTTCATCCACTTGTTTTCCTGCTTCTGTTGCATGATCTTTCACTTTTCTATGCAATTCCTCTCAAATGATCAATGATCCAAACCTTTTATGCACCTACATTATTCCTTATATCCTTCATTTTTCTACCTCACCATCATCCTACTACAACACTCAGAAAAAAACTGTTTTATATTTGTGGCTTTCTGCTAGTCACTTCGTAATTTCAGAAATAAATTACAATCAACTACCTTGAAAATGATCCTCCTCCCCTGTGAATGAGCAGTACAATTTATAATACACTACAGTAGTATGTATGACAAAAAGAAGAACTGAATAGAAAAGAGAGAACAGAGCAAAAAAATAAGCATAAGCATCAAAATTGAGAACAAACGTGAAAAATGGGTGGAAATGCTGTGAAAAACTGAGAGAAAGGGAAAACATACATGTGCATGCATTTGCAGACAAGCATGGAACATAAAACTGAGTCATGTTAATAGCTCCTGTTGTTAACAACTCAGGGAGAAGGGGATGTGGTGTTTTGTGGAGCCATAAGTATTACGGGAAATGTGCTGCTCAGCCCAGGAGAATGAGAGAGTGAAAGCGGGAGCAGGAGGCACAAAAAGGGGAGAATTATGGAGAAGGAGATGGCAAACCATTAGAAGGAAAGGAAGATGACGTGAATGTAAAGGATTAGAAGACAGCATGGGGTAACATAAGATGAAGAGGGGAGATGTGGAAAAGCAGGGAGAGGCAATGGGAATAAGGAGGAAGTGAAGACGGACTGAGGTAAAATGGAGACGAGGGACAAGAAATGTGGAATGAGGGGTATAGACGACAGAATGCAGATGATGAATTTGAGTTGATTAAAGAGAAGAAACAGATCAATGATATAAAAAAACAAAGAGACCAAGAAAGGATTCTCTGTTGTTGTAAGGACAGATTGGTAAATAATGAGTGATCATAATGCCATATTATAATTTTCAGCTTGCAGCATGTTCAAGTCGAAACCTCTGAAGATAAGTGAGCATATCTGGTTGACTTGTATCATAAAAAAACGTTCATTTTCAAGAGCCTATGAAAATTTGATGGGTTGGAGAGAATATGAAAGACAGGAAAGTCAGCGAGAACTCTGGGAGAAAGCAACTAGTGTGTGCGTGTGCGGTAAAAAACAATTTCCAGGCTGATGCAGATACACAGCAGTTTTAATCTATTTAGTTGCTCTTGGATGTCTCATTGGCACACAACAAAAGCCACAAACAGCTCTATCTCTCTGCACAGAACCCCGACCATCCATTCATTCACTGTGTACTGTGGCATTTCTTGTTGAAAGGGTTGCGGGAGCTTCGTCAGTATGAATTGTCTCATGCATGACAGTGGTGTGGAAATTGGTAAATTGGAATTCCTTGTGCATGTGTGGTCTGGTGTAGTCTGCGTTGTGAGGAGAGACTTGACATCACATGGCGAGTGGCTAAAATTAAATGTCTCAGAGACCCAAAAATTGTGAATTGTAGCTGAAGGTGTTAACTGTTTTCTGGTGGTCTTGCCAACTGCTCTTAGAGATAGCTATTAAGGGCTTTTTACTTAAATTTTATAATCTTTATTTTCTGGTTCAGATGTTGGGTTTTCAGCTGTTATGAATCGTTTTGTCATACACAGAAAAATGTCCAAATATGAACTACTGCTCTACCCTGGGAAGCACCATTTAAGCCTGATTGACACGTCCATCCATCCATCGTCATCCTGTGTACAGGGTCACGGAGGGCTGGAGCCAATCCCAGCTGACATTGGGCGAAGTACATTGGGTCCAGTACATCGCAGGGCCACATATAGACAAACAACTAGTCACACTCACACCTAAGGACAATTTTTAGAGACACCAATTAACCAAGCCTGCATGTCTTTGGATGGTGGGAGGAAGCCGGAGCACCCGGAGCGAACCCATGCGGTCACAGGGAGAACCTTCTGATTGACATGTCATTTATTTAACTAACCAGTTCAGAAGACGTCAGTGTAGTACTGAACAATGCAAAACTATTACAGGAGAAATGTGTCCACTTTTGGCAGGACATTTCAAAGAATAAGAATGTTTGTATGCAGTATGCACTTCAGCCGAACTCAATGCAAAACAAACTGTGGTGGTAAACAAGATTTAGTGCTGGAGGCAGTGAGGCGGCTCTATTGATGGAAATTTGTGGAGCTCAGCAACAGGTCCAAATTAATTGTAGATTTCCAGTGATATTATGTTTGTTACCTAGAACGTTTTACTGTTATAGCTGTAGCTTAGGGCAGACGTCTAACAGTAAACAGCTTGTTGGCATCATTAATTAATGCATGCCTCTCCCACTCTCTGGCTCAAATATGTGCACACAAACAAAGCTCTTAGCATCTCTTGTCTCCCCTCCTTTTGTGTGAATGGTATCCTTGATTTGTGTCTTGCGTGTACGTGTAGTCTGTCCTCTTTCCACGTGGTAGAGAAAACGCGTTGTGGCCAAATTCTTACTAGTGCTTTGCGGAATCTGAATATTTGCTCGAAATCTCTGATCCACAGTCTTCACTAGAAACACCTTCACACCTCGCCTGAAAGGCTGGAACTCTTTCACTAATTACACTTAATATTTATTGTATTTTATTTAATCTTATAATTCCCCACTCTAAATGGAAAAATGTTTTTTGACTATAAAGCACTGTGAAACAACTTTGTGATTTTGGACAATACTACTACTATACTATAACTTAACTTGACTGTGAAATACAGGCCTTCCTAAAGCCAAATTAATTTGTTGCCTTTAACATGTTTCTCAGGTATATTCTTACACCAGCATTTGGTATAAAGAAACTAGTAGAACTGCTCCTACCTTCCTCATGTATCAACTTCCATGAGAAGGGTGATTTTCAACCACATAACATTTATACCTATATAGAGACTTTGAAATTAGGTTCCTGTACCTTTAGGCAAAACATTTTTGAAATTGTTGAATTGTCGAAAAAGTTAAACAACTAAGGATTTAATATTTTTGTGTGTGTGACATGTCTAGGCCTCAGCCTTTTATTTCCCAGTTTCTCGGTCTCACCTCTGGCCTGTGGGGTTGTAGATCTCATTGCTCTGGCAACCACTTATTGTGATGGGGTCGAAGGACTGGAAGGAGCGCAGCCCTACACCGGAGATGGCCACGAGACGAGAGGCAAACATGACCAGGATAGCCTTGGTGTGATAGAAGGCCACTGACAGGTCATGGCTCACTGGGATCACCAGAGGGTTGGTGCGGCAGCTGAGACGCCACTCACCTGTGGAGAGGATAATGGGGATGGAGAAGAGACAAAATAAAAGAACATATTGAGATTGTGGTGGGGAAAGTAGGTGGCAGAGGTGGAGAGTGAGTTGCAGTTTAAAGAGACAGTTCTCACCTAAACTGTGGATGCCCTCCTTGGTGTCCACCAGCTGAACAGTGATGTTACACTGAGTCTGGTCAGTGTAGGTAGTCCCATCAGCAGCCAAATGTATAATCACTGCTGCTGCCACCATGGGATGAGAAAAGTGGGCCTGAATGAAGGAAAACGTAAAGTGTAAAGTTAAGGACAAATTTTCAGTAACTGGAATCTACTGTATCTTCTTTTCCAGTACTACAATTGAAAATACTGTGTTTCTGCTTGTTTTTTCCTAATTTGAATCATGTTTCATGCATCATATTTGTGTCAAATTGGCACATAAAGCTTCTGCATTAGTGTTACTTAAACAAAATATATTCGTCAACTACCTTTCCCTGACTAAAACGAGACGATGACGACACCGCGACAATGCACTTAAACACTGACTGTGACTATCTTATCATACAATATTGTTGACGAAAAATGACGACACTAAAATGTAATTCATAAAATAAAAACGTTAATAAAATCTCTCTTTCTTTTTGTCAGAATAATGAGGAGACAAAATATTACAGCCCATATTTTCTACCTCTAAATTTTCACTTGAACAGTGTGTTCATTCAGAGGTATTTTTTTCTTCCTGTGATTTACACACTGGCCAACTGGGGCAATGCCTGGTGTGGGACGAAAACATTACTGCACTGTGGAAAAATTATACTAATGAGTTAGAAAAGACTAAAATGATGGTTAATGACTAAAACTAGACTAAAATACTTTAGATTTTCTTCTCATCCATTATCTTCTTATATTGGCACACCTTCTTATACGTTACTGTCCTTGAGCATTCCTTTCGGTACAAATGACAATGGAGAATGAGTAAAAAATTTGAGGATCAATAAGCATGCAAACCACTTAACAAAGCAATACAACTCCAGATTAATATGGGCATTTTTTAAACAAATACTTCAAAATAAAAGCAATAACAACAGGTTTATTAATTATAGAAAGAGTGACATATACCAATGCAGTACCTTCACAAGAGCATCACCATTATTTTCACATCGCTCTTTTCAGATTGGTCTTACCTTGAGCCAATAGTTAGGATATCCCCAGACGGACTTATGGACATCTGAACAAGGGAACCATGCATACTGGGACACTCCATCTGATAGATCAAACACCTTGGATTGACATGTCTAGGGAAATAGAGAAAAGAAATTGGGTCATTGTGTATGTTTCCTAACTAATTTCCTAACTGTTATTGCTTTTGTTTTTTTTGGGTCCAAATATTTTGTTATGTAATAAATGTAGAAAGATGATAAAGAAGATAAATGTAAGATCAAATTAGGGAACAGATTTTTTTCAACAATTCTCAACAACAAAAAAAGGATACTCGCAATACAGCATCAGTGGTTCTACTGACTTGGAACAACTTAATTTTCTTTCTTTTTGGTTTTTTTTTTTTAATGAATTAAAGTTTCCCCACAGTTTTCATGAGAGTAGCCTCCTTTCTTAATACACATTGTCCACTACATGGACAACACCTTCTAAAGACAGTGAAATTGATTTTGTTAACGATAATGTTGTAAGTAATGTTACCAAAATATTTCTGTACCATCATCTTCTGACAGCGATTACAAGTGATTACATTTGTTGCTGTTGTCAGTTATGATCAGCTCCTTCTCTAAACTTGTTCCTTATCACGATACACCAGACCCCAATGTTGGAAAAAAGTGAAGAGTAGATAACATGCTAAAATTAAATAGAAATTAGCATTAGCTGAGTAGCAAACTAACTTTTTGACACATACTTAATAAAGCTTGATTTCTGTCTCGGGCCTAAGAGGCCGTGACCCTGCGTTTTTCCACAACTGTCAGATGTTTTTCTGCTATTTGGGCTGACGTGTATTTTGTGCAGCACAGTTTGTTTGTGTCTTGTCAACAAACCCAGCACCTTTTCATGCGTCACACAACCCATATCCCTCTCCTCTGTCTGATTTTCTGTAGTACTAGTGTTTTTGTGTACTCACCTTGTGCTGGCTTTTCACACCCTGTCATCCTACACCTGCCCACTAGAAGCCCTCAGAGAGTTTTCATGATTCCATTCAGCACCTGAATAAGTCACCTGTTTCACACCACTACACTGCATTTATTTACTCAATATGTGTAGTATAAATGGCAGTTTTCAGTTATCATTTGGCAGACTGTCCAGCCATACGCAGCTGTTGCATGGATTTTAAATAATCTCTTAAGATGTGTCTGTCTGATAACAAAGTAAATCATAACTTACTAAATCATAACTTTATGAAACACTGTTGTTCTATCTACAAGTTGTTAAAGCTTAAATTGTCAAGAGTGCTATTTAAATTAACTCTGACCTTTGAGACTGAGCCTCCCAGACACTATTTTTCAATTTTGCTGTATTCCCAGAGGCTGTTGAATGTAGCACTGAGTGCAAATGACAATGCACTTGACCAGAGGTGTGTCCCACAGAAGAAAGTGGAGGTTTGTGAGTTATGGTAAAAGAGATGACAACAAAAACATTCCTGATAGTGAAACGTAAAATAAAGAGAGAAACACAAGCTGTGATTTCGAAGTGGTTCGGACCTGGTTTTTTCAACAAGAATTACTGATTACTCACCAAGGTCCATCCACTATTGGAAGTTCCCTGTTTGCATAACTGAATGCTTAAAGAATAGAAGTAGCAGAATAGGATGGATGTTGTGTTGCGGCCGGTGAGTGCCAGTACATGTATAAAGGGAAAAGGCAAAATGTTTGATAAGAGGTGTATCATTTCCAACTTGTGGACTGTGTTTGAGTCAATTTCACTAGGCCAATCCTGGTATGACCCAGCCGTATATGACAAGGTATCTGGGTATGGTAGCAACCTTAATAGCTTTATGAAAAAAAGCAACTGAGAGAACCTTTTGCTCTGGCAAGACACCTGTAAATCCATCTGTATATCCATCCATCCATCCATTTCCTGCCACCTGTATATATATGTAAAATATTCAAGCCAAAACAGCTTAGGTATGGTGATTGGCTGCTCTCACTTTACAACTCTCAACTTATGAGACGCAGCAATAATGGTAGGACAGAGCTTTAAAAGGACAAGGGATGTAGTTGAATTTTAAACTATTCTGGTATCTAGTCATTGTAAATTATATGATTGCATTATATTACATTATATTAATTATATGATTATACTACCTCATTACTGTGGCTTTTCTGACGTAAGGAAGATCAAAGGACCCCCTGCAGAAGTTGTATACCACCAATTACCCCCTGCAGAAGTTGTATACCACCAATTATCGCCTTAGTATCTACATTAGGATGATTTCTAACTTCCTAGTTCAACAAGGTCGGGTGTGAAACATAGACAGAAGGGATGTGGAGAAAACGGGGACGAGATGATGTTGTTTTGAATAAAAGAAGGAAAATTGTCAAAAAGTGATAAATGGAACTATCTGATTATTGAGCAGTAGATAACACAGACAAAGGGGAGAGAGGGCACATACCCAAGGACGGTGAGTTTCGCCTGCTGCCCTGAGCTAGTGAAATGAGACACCAGTAACATGAGAGTTTTGCTAGAGAGGCTACTGTAAGATCCTGCCACCGTGGAAAACTGGCCAGACCAGCTATCCGTCTATATATCTGTCCCCTGGATCTGTTGACATGACCTTTCTGCTCAGAGCTGAAGTGGCAGAAATGACAAATGCAGGTGACAAACACCTGAGATCAGTCACCATGAGACTTCGGCCCCATTTGGGTGCAGCTGCGTTGATCTCCATTTTGTCTTCATCAGAAAGTAACTTACTAAATTTGAATGAATTAAATACAGTAACTAAATTGAAACCAAGGCATATTTTACTGAGGCAAGTGCAGAGCTTCCCAGCTCAACTCCAACTTTGGTCTGGGCTTGACAAAACGCCCACAACACTCTCCATGAGTGTATGACTTAACTAACCAGTATAATTTTAAGATACAGTAGGCTGCGAATGAAGTGAAGTCAAGAGGAGCTGGTTTCCATTGCTGCCCTTTTCTGGCAGGAGAGGTGACAAAACCCTTTCCACATGCAAACAGATGACTTATTTATGTTAACACAGGTGGCACAAGCTACTCCCTCCTCCACACCACTCCTTCTCTCATCCTTCCCTCATCATCTCCTGGTGTTTTTCTAACAACCCACTGTTCGAGACAGACAAGCACTGCTTGCCAAAGCCCCTGCACTCAAGCAAACACCCCGCCACACACACACCCCAAGGCATCACACCAAGAGGAGGCAATTCACAAGTCTCCCATGGCTCATTACACTTACTCCAACCTCCTCCCCATGCAATGGCAAAAGTCAAAGCACTCTGAATAGATTTGTCATTGATTTGATTTAGTCATAAAAAGAGGCATAAGGGTGGTGATGGTAATACACTTGTGCAGCGGTGCGGTACTCAACCAAGCAAGGCTACTTTAGCTACATACATTAAAATGTCATCCATCCATCCATTCAACAATACCCAGTTATCCTTACTGAATTGTTGGTCAAGCATGTCCCAAAAACATTTGATGGTGGTAAATATCTTTTTGTTTTTGTTTTATTTCATTACGGCACAATGTTCCAGTCTGTTGGCAGACCATTTTTCTCTCTTTACTTGTCACTTCTGCTGTCTCTTGTTATCATCTTGGAAAAGATCTTTACGTAAGCAGTTGAAGTTTGTTTTGAGATGTGTTAGGTTTTTCCTTTTCAAATAAAATCAACAAATATGGCTACCATGGCACCCACATATTTCACTTTTGGCACATTGGTTTCTTTGTTGTCAATAGACAACTTTGGAGGCATCAGCAAGAGACCTCTATTTTGAAAGACCTCCCTCCAAAGCCACTCACCCAAAACACATTCATTTTGAGTGCGCACAGGTAGAGAGGTAGGTAGGCAGTTGGACAGGCAGGTAGGCCGAATTAAATGATTGGGAGGAGTGCTTTGGCAGCCCAGATACCGTTTTTTTTTTTGTCAGATCACTGGATTTATTGATCCCTGTATATCATATATATATATATATAAAGGGAATTTCAACAAATGTAACAACAAATGCTTCTAAACATACTTCTGGCATTATACTATAAATCTAAAGCCTAATTTAGCTTTAAATTAGAGAACATCAGGACATATTTTATAGTATATGTAAAATATTTGCATAGAAAGTTTAAACTCAATGTTTTGTGTTGCAAGGTAATGTGTACACATCTAGTGTTCTTTGAACTAGGAAGTGGCAAGCTCTCCTGAGCTGAACAAAATTCAGACTGCTGGAGATCATGGATAAAAAATCCAATGTCTCATTTGTAGGGCTGTCCCTTAATAGTCGAAGATTCGATGCTTCGATGGGCGGAGCCTGATTCGATGATATGGGGGTGCTCAACGTCTGATTTTACATAGTACTACCAGTTTTCTCCCAATAAGTTAATATACAGCCTATTAAAATACACATTTCAACATTTAATACTATAAATAAACATGTAAAAAGAAAAAAACTTTCAATAAATGTGCGTAAATAAATCCAAAAATGGAAATTTACAGTGTAAGTTGAATGAATAGAGACTGCAGCTCTGCAGCTTCTCAAGGTTAAAGCATACCTACCGTGTGTAACCGCCCCCTCCCCACCCCAACAATCGTCACACACAAAAACACACATGATTCGACTATCAGTCGACTATAGCCTGAACTTGACGATTCTGACTCGACTATGTAACTCCTTAGTCGGGGACAGCCATACTCATTTGTACTACAATCAGATGAAAATTAAGGACTGGGATAAATGTATTCTCAACAGTAAGTCAGTAAGAATTGTTAGAGGCACGTGCATGGACGGATGGGAGTCCAGTCGAGTCCAACTTTATTTTCAAAGCACATTTAAAACAACCAGGTTGACCAAAGTGCTGTACATTGACATGGAACAATAAAAAGACAAAAACAACACCAAACAAATACAACATACATCTCTCACGCTGGATTAAAAGCCAAGGGTAGCACTTTATAATAACTGCACACTATAAAGCATTAGTTAAGTATTAGTAAATACGGAAAGCATTATTCATACATTAATACACATTAGTAAGTCATTCATAAACACAGTTATATGTGTTTTATTCTTTGTTATCTACACACTATGAAGCAGTTGTCAAGTATTAGTATATTTTTACTTCAT